CAATGTCTGAGACTACAGACGAATAAAAAAAAATATTTCGCTGAGATCGTATAGCCGGATGCGCTCCGAAAAAAGACGAACACCCGCGCGTTCCACCGTACATACGGTTATAAATATCCTACGTGATCAATTTTCCATGACCAATGTGATCTTGTATTGCCATGCATTGCCTATTGCGTTTTAGTTGTCAAAATTCCCCTTTTCCCACCCCGTCTTGTGCAACGCTTCACCTTTCTGATCCCACCATAATTGACAATCCACGCTCGATGTGCAACTTCACTCTGTGCCAACCTCGTGTTATTGATTGACGCTTGGCCAAGATGTCGAGTAAGTATTACACAATTTTTATACGCATATTTATGCATTCTCTTTCAGTATTCTCTTTCATTTGTCGTTATTTTGATACGAAAATCACGTCGGTTTTCTGTCTACATTTTTATGGTTACATTTTTTTGGTTTTTCCAGAAGAAATTTCTGATGCTGCTGAGCGGATGCTGTTGGAGGAGGATACTCCTATGGAATCTCTAGAGAGTATGGTGAAGGAGCTCCTTCGACAGCAAAAAGAGGACCGAAAACGGTATGACGCCATTTTAGAGCAACAGCAGCAGCAGCAGCAGCAGTTGCTACAACAACTGCAGCAGCAAGAAGTGAATGGTATATTATATTTATCCATTATTCTCTGTATCAGTGTATAATCACTGATATCTCTGCCAAGTATGCCACTCGTAATCAGTGAATTAAATGTGAGATTCCTAACGTAGCTAATCTTTATTATGTGATCTAACTAACTTTGTTTTGTTCTTAAATTCAATGAATATGGTATTGTAAAATTGAAATTAACGTGCAAATATCAGTATTTTAGTTATACAGGGTGTCTCGACCTTTTTTATCAATCACTTCTGTGTTGATAGAGCGGACTAAATTGAGTCGAAAAGTCCTCTACCATTTTACAATTTTCGCAATAGTTAATAAGATATTAATCACTAAAAATTGCAAAATATTGGTCGTGAATAATTTTTTACTCAAATACTATCAACTTTACAGAAAAACTGCAAGAGAATTATTTATCTTCTTCTTATAAAGTTCTGAGAATTTTTCCAGAATTTTTTAATACCTTATTTTCTCATAATGGTAAAAATAAGAAAATGCAGTACTAAAAAGTTGATAAAATATTCTGAAAAAAATATCAGAACTTTATGAGAAGAAAATAAGTAATTTTTGTCTCTTGCAGTTTTTCTGTAAAATTGATAGTATTTGAGTAAAAAATTATTCAGTACCAATATTTTGCAATTTTTAGTAATTAATATCTTATTAACTATTGCGAAAATTGCAATATAGTTAGAGGACTCAGATTAGTCCGCTCTATCTACACAAAAGTGATTTGCAGAAAAGGTTGGGACACCCTGTATAATGCTCAAACATTCTTCCTTTTTTAGTTGAACTTCACTGATTATCAGCCAAGTATGTCACTGGGTAATTATTTATATTTTTATATTTTCTTTTATTTCAACAGTAAATCGACGAGGACAGGGACGTGGGCGTAGCCGGGCCCAATGGTACCTCCGCCGTCATTATCGTGACGCGCCAAGGCAAAATATTAATGACCGCAGTCAACAAGATGGCGATGGACAACAAAATGGTGGTGATGGAGGTGATCGAGGTGGCGGTAGTCGTGATGGCGGTAGTCGTGGTGGCGGTAGTCGTGGTGGCGGTCACTACCACGGTAACTATCATCGTAGTTATCATGGTAGAAGAACGTTTAGAGGGAGGTCGAAGCCGAATGTGACAATTGTTAAAAATTATTAAGGACATTAGGCCTTTTAATTAATTAATTAATTACAATAATTAATTAATGTAATTAATGTAATTATTTATTATTTGCATTATTATTTGGATTTATTCTATGTATTATTATTATCTGCAAATGTTATTTGTAAAATTTCCTTAGAATGTTAATTAAAGAAATATTCATAATTCATATATTTGTTGCTTATTTCTATACCAAATCAGCTATAAAACTATTTTTACGATTACGAAAATAAAAGTCTTACAATTTTCTTCTGCAAATTGCGTAGTTTAAATAATAGTGACTATATTTTTGATAATATTACATCGTTTTAAATGTTCGTTTTTCTAAATCAGAGTAGAAAAACGAATATGAGTCGGCTTATGTGTTGGCTGTATTCCACTTATAAGCATCTTCTTGTAAAGTTACTTTTGCATTTTGTGCTTCGTACTACTTCTTCTCGTATCCGTTAGTTGTATCGACTCCGTTCCATCGATGACCGGGTTTAATATCGAATCGATTTGGTGCGTACAAACCTTGATATTGCGGTGGATCTACAATTAAAACGATTGAATGACCATTTTTATAATGACTATATGCAACAATAGAATATTGACTATAATCTTCATCGAACATCAAAATTACCACGAAACATCTTGTCTACCGACTATAGACGAATAAAGAAAAATATTTCAGAATTTCTTCTATTATAAGAGTAATGAGTATAAAAGTTTATAATTTTAATTAACTACCTATATATATATATGTTGTCTTTAAAATATATATAAAAATACATATATGTATATTTTAAATACGCAACATAGGCAGTTAATTTATAAATTATAAACTTTTATTATTTCTCTATTCACTACTCACTACTATTAATAGAGAAAATTTGAATAGTAATTTTGTTTTTAATAAAAGAAAAATTCATTCTTGTAAGACTGAATTATTTCAGTCCTTTCGAGAGAGTGAAATTATTTACTCCGCATTAGATAGAAAAT